AGGGGGGCCCCCCGAGTGGGTGGTCCCCAGGAAGTTGTCTCTTTCAGGGAATATATTTATTGAGGGAAAGAAAGCTCCTGTCCAAGAGAGGGACAGGAGGGGGGCTCCCAGCAGGTGGTCCCTCCTTTTTTTTTCTTTTTCTTTATTTTTCGGTACTGGGGATTGAACTCAGAACCTTTCACGTGCCAGTCAGACACTTCTGCCACTGAGCTGTCTCCCAAGCCCCTAAGGTGAATTTCATGTTTGCTAAAGGACAGGAGTATCCAGAATAGATTGAAAACAATCATCAAGACGCAGACCGGGCCAGCAGGGGGCTAGAAGAGTGTGCCTTAAGAACATCAGGAACTTCATTGTGGCTCTTACAGCGGCGCCACTTACTGTGTGAGCCTCTTACTTCACACGCGGAGCGTGGTTTGTGTGGACGCTGCTTCTCTGCCCCGCAAATGTGGCCTCCACTGTGTAAACCCTGGGTCGTTCCTTGTCTCTGTACTCTGGGCCAACAGGAAGGACCTGCGACCCATGTGGCCTCAATGGCTTATTTCTTTCACTAAGTGTGAGATGGATTCAGCCCTTAAACCAAAGGCCCCTTCAGCACAAACCAGTGCTTAGTCTCTATACTGATCAGTAATAAGTCGTCCCTGTCCTCTTTCATGTGCAGCTGAAGAATGACAGGCTAGGGACAGAACACCGCACACTCTGTGCTGCCATCCCTTATGTGATCATTAGTTTAATTGTCACTAAATTTACATACGAAGTACATTACACGTAGAATACTGCAAAAACAGTAAAAGAGCCGCCCCTTTCTGCTCAGGAAGTCCCTCTTTTCCCATGCTTCATAGTACATTGTCCTTTGACTCCAAAATGTGCTGTGACAGTTGCAGTCTCTTCCTGTTGATCTTCCTCTTGTTCCCAGCGCCAGAGCTTCCAGAGCCTTCTCTGTCAGAGGTGGGCTCAGAGCTGCATTTCCAAGAGCTTCGACGCCACCTGCTGGAGGGAGGATGCCACCTGCCTCCCGTTTCCTCTCCCTGACGCTTCCAGCCAGGAGCGCCTAATTGGAAAGATTCTCACCCTGACTAACTATATATACTGATACCTGTGAACTAAGCTACTGCACTGCAGATGGTAATTTGTAATAGTAGTT